GCAACAATTAATTAATGATTTTATAAATATAGTTTAAATTAATAATATCCCTGTTAGTGAGGGGATATATAACTAAAATAAAATAAAAAATGTATGTATGCATGTATGTATGCACTTAAAATAGAAATATAAACACTAATGCATATATTAAACAGAAATTTTATTTTTATTTTAATTTATTAAATTAATTTTATAAATTTTTTTCTAGAGAGGAAGTTTAGGTAAAAATTAATACTGAAAATGAATACACTTACTTGTTAGATGATAAACAACACTCAAATTAAATAAGAAACAATTTATTTTACTTTAAATTTTAATAATTATTATATGCAAAAAAAAGTTTCCATGTACCGTAAAAAATCCATTCCCATTATATTTTCTGTTTTTACTTGGAGGGCTTATTCTACAAAATTTTAAAAACTTTTTTTAATTTTTTCAAATAAAGTGTAAAGTGCAAAAGTCTAAAGTGCAAAATTTATTGAAAATAAAACCCTCCATATAAAACACTTGGAGATGAAAAGATTGACAAGATAGTGGTTTTTTTACCTGTACTGATCTAAAAATGCTCCGATTGTAAATTCTCTATTAATTAATTGATTATATATAAAATAAACCATTTTTTTAAAAACAATCAATCATGCATGAATTGATTTTGGAAAAATAAAAAAGGAGAATTGATACAGCCAGAAATATTTCAAATTTATTTCAATTTTTTGTTGTTTATAAAGTAAATTGGTTTTATCTTATTTAAAAAATGTAACTAAATATTTGAATAGATTTCATAATGTAACTTAAATTAGCTAATAAGATTTATTTTCAAAAATATAAATTCTTAATTTACTATCAATAATAACACATATTTAATTTACTTTTTATAGGAATTAATTAGATATTAATTTATGAATTTAATAGTTGAAATATCTAAAAAGGTGTAAATAAGTTAGAATCAATTGAAACCTTGTAGAACTATTTCAAAAATAAGCTAACTTAACAAATATTTATTCTTTTATTTATTTTGACTTTTAAACATAATGGTTTTTATATTTTTGCTGCTTTTAAATACAAATTAATAGTTTTCCTAAATTAACTATATTTAATTCATTCATTTTATATCACAATACTATTTATAGCATTTAGACATTTCAATTTATATTTAGAGTCTACTCAATTATAAAATCAAACAATTCCTTAACTTGATAACCGGTTTTAGCTGAAGCTTCAAAGAAAACCATTCCCAAAGATTAAGCAAGCTATTAACCCTCTTGATAAGAAACTTATCTAAGTTCTTCCTACAAATCACATTTATTCCCAATTAAAGATAAAACCATCAATTTATTATTGATTTGATTATTCTTAAAGTTCAAATACCAATTATATGCTTTTTAAAAACTTTTTCTATTAGTAACATCATAACAAATTATTACAAATGAAATAGTATTATACAAATGTCTTCTAAAAAATTATAATTTTTCATTTGAAAGGTATTTCCATAATTAAATTTTAATTTCTTCTTTTCCCTAACAAAAAACATTAAAATTTTAGATTTTAAGAATAATGAATGTTTGTTTACTCTTTTCAAAAGTTTTAGGTAGAGTTCACTCCCATAACCAGGATAATCATAGAACTCATCCTCAAAGTATCTTATTAGCAAGGAAGACTTTCCTGTCAAGCAATCTCCGAAAAGTAATATTTTTATTGGTTCAAATTGACTAATCTGATTTTCCATTTTTCGGTGTTATTTCTTATTTCAAAATAGAAAAAAAAATCTTTAATTAAGTGTTTTTAATTAAAGTAATTATTTGAAAAATAAACAAATTTTTTTTGATCCCTAAGAAATTGCTTATCAGAAAAAACCTTCAAACCAAATTTACTATTAATTCATCCCTTATCAGAAATAAAATATTCAAACCAAATTTACTATTAATACCTTATCAAAAATTAACTCTTCAAATCAAATCTATTTATTATTTTATACTCTAATTTTCTTTAGAAACTGTAAAGACAAATTTTGAAAAAATGTAATTTTAAAATTGAATAAATTGACTTTTGATTATAAATAATTAATATTTATCTCTTCCTATTTTCAAATTATTATTGGTTTAATATGCTTCAGGATGGATGGATGGATGGTCTCTTTTTAAATGTAGAAATTAAATTTTAAAAAATAAATAAATAATTATTTACTTTAAATTATTGTTAAGCTACTCTAAATTTCTACATCATGCATGTTAAGTTATTTAAAAGAAATAAAGTAAAATTATACTTACAATTATTAGATTAAAAATAGAGGTTAAATATTCATTTTTTTAAAATAGAAAAGTAATATTTTTAAGCTTGTATTAGAATTTTTCATATTTACTACAATTAATATTATAATAATTGTGTTCTATTTTGTTTTGCTCAATATTTGATATAAATTGTTTAATTTATTTAGTAAAACCATATTAAGGTATGTATCATATTAAAAGTTAAAAAAGTTTTCAGATAAAAAAATTATTTTGTTCTTTTTAAATTGTAATGTAAATTTTCATTATTTAGTTTAATTAATATTAATTATTTATTCAGATTATACATTTTTATTTAAAATTCAGGAATTAAATTTTTAATTCTCCACAACCATAAGAATTTAACTGAACGTGCTATATTTATTAATAACCTTATTTTTATTCTAATAATTTTTAGGTTTTTCAATATAATTACTTGTAAAAATAATAAAAGATTTATTAAGTAAATAAATTATAGAATAAATGTCCTTTTTAAGTTTTATTAGATATTAAATTAGTAATATTTAATATTACATCTTTATCATTTGTTTCATAATAGCTAATAAGTTCATAAAAATCTGTAGAGGTAATAATAAGATCATTCATTATTTTCTGAAATTTCTCATTAGTTTTTCAACCTCAACATTTTTTTTCAGCACAAAATAATTTTAGAATTATAAAATTTCCAACTCTATTCCATATTCCAAAATTTGGCACATACATTTATTTTGATATATTTTTTAATATTAGTAAAATTAAGCAAATTGACTATGTAGAGTAAACAGTATATTAAAATAAAATTCAACATTCCAAATATAAAAAGTAATTAAGTGGAAGAGGTAGTAAGTAATAAAAAGAAAAGGCAGGCTATCATGAATAAAAAACAAAAAAAAGAGCATTATTAAGATTAAATAATAAAAACAACAAAACTGTAGATTTTGTTAACAGCTAACAATAATACATCTTTAATTTTATTAATTAATTTAAAACTATAAAAATTTACAGAATAAAAGAATATTTATAAAAAATATCTTGTATCTATTTGTCTATCTATCTAATCAAATCTGGTAGAATTAAATTTAATAAAGTTAATGTTTGTTTTATGTCTAAAAATTTATAATAACAAATTTTAATAGCTTAATTTTTTGTTTCTTTTGTTTAAATGTATTCTAAAAATAAACTAATTTTTTATGGTTTTTATGGGAGTAAGTAAGTAGGTAGGTAAGTAAGTTACTTTATTTTGTATTTGAGATATGAATTTCAATATATATTGATCGCTTAGCTTATTAAACTTTCAAACAGCTCATTTACTTAATAACCTGTTTTAGAGGAGACTTCGAAAAATAGCATCCCTAAAGAATTTGCAAGTTATTTACCTTCTATATACGAAACTTTTCTTTATTATTCTAAATCGCATTTATTTCCAATCAAAGCTAGTACAGCTACTTTATTTGATTTTTTTTAATTGTAATCTTTAAACCATTATTGAGCTCCAACAAAGGATTATCTGTTAGTAATATCATAAGATATCATAACTATTAAACATTAGTTATAAAAATTTTAAATATATATTCTATCTCTATAGTAAGAGTAATAATCCCAAAATTAAAATTTAATCTGTTCCTCTCCCTATTAAAAATAATGTCAAACATTTTTATTTAGATTTTGTAGAATAATTAATTAATTTTTACTAACTAAATAGTTTTTATGTAAAAATCTAATATTTAATTAGGGTAGCCATTGAACTCTTAATGATATCTCAAATATAAAGATTTCTTTCCTACACTTATGTCTCCAATTTATACTACTTTTATATTTTTAGGTAAGCTTGTATGATGAATCATTCTGAGTATTTATTTATCTTATTTCAATTTAATTTAATACAATGTGTGGCTGGCTGGCTTTACTACTTTTAATTATTGCAAAATAAATATTTAGGTAAATTATTATAAAATTAATGTGATTTTCAAATACTAATTAATTAATTAATATTATATGAAATTTTCTAATTAATTTTGCACTTTTAATACATGTGTAAAAAATACTAACATATCTAATAATTTAATTAATTTTTATACATACTAATATTATATCCACACAAAAATTTAATTTTAAATAATTTATTTTTTTATTAATGATAAATTAGCAAACATTTTACAATTTCACATGCTATTTATTCTATTACTATTTGATTTTAAATAAAACAAATATTTTTTTTTTTAAACATTAGTTCAGGGATTTAAAATGTAAAAAAACAGAAGAAAAGATACATACATACAACCATATATATTTCAAATTTGTTTCGATTTTTTATAATTTATAAAATAAATTGATTTTATCTTCAAAAAAATCAAACAAACAAAATATTTTAATAGATTTCATAATTTAATTTAAATTAGCTAATAGAATTTATTTTTAAAAATATAAATTCCTAATTTAATATGAAATAACACATATTTAATTTTAATAGAAATTAATTTGATATTAATTTAGGAATTTGATAGTTGAAATATATAAAAGGTATTAGTTATAATTTATTAAAATCTTGTAGAAAAATTTCTAAAAAAGTTAAGTTAAAGAATATTCTTTTATTTATTTATTAATTAAGACTATAAAATATGATAGTTTTTAGATTTTATATGTTTTAAAATACTTAAGAGCAGCTTAATTAATTTAACAGCGCTGAATTAATTTTATCATAATAATTGTTTTAGTTTTAGCTATTAAAATATGTTTATTTAAAAAATTAACATTTTAATTCATCTAAATTCTTGAAATATTTTTTCTATTGTATCATTTTTTTTTAAATATTCAATAGCAATTTATGGAAATTTAATTAATAAAAAGTATATTAAAAAATGAATTTTGATAAAAAGTACAAATATATAAATAAAATATATTTTTTGTATTAATTTATAAACTTAAATATCACAAAAAAGTTAGTAAAATAATATTCATTATTAAATCTTAAAACCTCATTTTAAAACTGAAACTTAAAAAAAATAATAATAATACAAGTTAAAAGGTATTGACCACCTCTTAATATTTATTATTCCTTTGAGTTATCTAAATAATTAAATAATTATTACCGTATAATCTCTAAAAGTCTTCATCTTACCACGCCGATTGGGCATTTTGCGCCGAAGTATTATTATACCAAATATAAAAAGTAAATAGGAGAAAGAGGTAGTAATAAAAAGAAAAGACAGGCTATCAGGAACAAAACAAAAATAAGAGTATTTAATATTGAATAATAACAACAAGAAACTCTAGATAATATTAATAACTAACAATAATACATCTATAACTAAGGTAAGCAAACAAAAATAGTTAAATTTTAAAATAATCAATAAAAACACAAAAAAAACCAACACAATATTATAGGTAAGAAACATTAAAATTTGTTTGTTATCAGTTTTTGATGATAATAAATAAATAAAAGTTATTCATTTTTTCAAAAATAAGATTAATTAAATTCAGAAATATTTTAAAACCTATAATCATTAATATCTTTTTTTATAGCGATTTCAAAACTATTTGCAATTTTTATGAATTTAAAATAGTTTTGACATGAACTTTGTGACCAAAGTTGCACTGAATGGGTTCAATTAAAATAAAATAAAATTAATATATGAATCCAATCACATTTTATAATATTAAAAGGCTTTGCTTATATTTTTTTTTATCATATAATTTTATTAATTAATTTAATACTATAAAAATTTACAGAATAAAAGAATATATATTTAAATTAAAGTATCTTTTATCTAATCAAATCTGGTAGAATTAAATTTAATAAAGTTAGTCTTTGTTTCATATTTAAAAGTTTATAATAACAAATTTTAAAACCTTCATTTTTTGTTACTTTTATTTAAATGTATTCTAAAAATGAGCTAATTTGTTATGGTTTTATGGGAGTAAGTAAGTAAGTAGGTAGGTAGGTATGTATGTCACTTTATTTTATATTTGAGATATGAATTTCAATTAAAATTGATCGCTTAGCTTATTAAACTTTCAAACAGCTCATTTACTTAATAACCTGTTTTAGAGGAGACTTCGAAGAATAGCATCCCTAAAGAATTTGCAAGTTGTTTACCTTCATAATACGAAACTTATCTTTATTATTCTAAATCGCATTTATTTCCAATCAAAGCTATTAGAGCTAATTTATTTGATTTTTTTTAATTGTAATCTTTGAACCATAATTGAGCTCTATCAAAGGAATATCTGTTAGTAATATCATAAGATATCATAACTATTGAGCATTATTTATAAAAAATTTGTGATAAAGAAACTTCTCTTTGGCAAGATTGATAATCCCAAAATTAAAATTTAATTTGTTCCTCTCCCTATTAAAAATAATGTCAAACATTTTTATTTAGATTTTGTAGAATAATTAATTTTTACTAACTTAATAGTTTTTGAGTAAAAATCGAGGACGCTTAAATTAAGAGAGTTAATAAACTTTCCTTAATCATATCTCTAATATAAAGATGACTTTCCTACATACGAATCTCCAATTTAAACAACTTTTATATATCTAGGCTAGTTTGTATGATGGATCATTGTGAGTATTTATCTTATTATAATTTAATTAAATGTGTGGCTGGCTTTGCTACTTTTAATTATTGCTACAATAAATATTTAGGTAAATTTTAATAAAATTAAGTGATTATCAAATATTAATTAAATAATATAAAATAATATAATATAATATTTTCTAATAAATCATGCTCTTTTTAAATATGCGTATTTAAATACTAATATATCTAATAATTTAATGAATTTTTTATACTAATATTATTAATGATAAATTAGCAAACATTTTACAATTTCACATGTTAGTTATCCTATTACTATTTGATTTTATATAAAACAATAAATGTTTTTTTAAAACAATAACACATGAATTTATTATGTAAAAAAATAGAAGAAAAGGTAATTAATTACATACAACATATATATTTCAAATTTATAATAATATTTTATGAATTAAAAAATAAATATATATACATATATTTACGGTATTATATAATAATTAAATACTTGCTTTAGAAATTTACAATATAAAAGAATAAATTAAGTATAAGTATCTTGCTTTTAATCAGATCAAATCTGGTAGAATTAAATTTAATAAAATTAGTTTTTGTTTCATGTTTAAAAATTTTTTATAACAAATTTTAAAACCTTCATTTTTTGTTTCTTTTATTTATATAAACCTATTCTAAATAAAAAATGATATTATTTTTCATGTTTTTTATGGGAGTAGGTATGTAGGTAGGTAGGTTACTTTATTTTATATTTATAAAACAAATTTCAATTAACATTGATTGCATAGCTTATTAAACTTTCAAAGAGCTCATTTACTTAATAACCTGTTTTAGAGGAGACTTCGAAGAATAGCATCCCTAAAGAATTTGCAAGTTGTTTACCTTCTTTTTAGGAAACTTTTCTTTATTATTCTAAATCGTATTTATTTCCAATCAAAACTAGTAGAGCTACTTTATTTTATTTTTTTTGATTGTAATCCTCAAACCAAAATTGTACTCTATCAAAAGATTATCTGTTAGTAATATCATAAGATATCATAACTATAGAGCTTTAGTTATAAAAATAGTGAGATAAAGAAAAGAATTTTTCGTTAGAGCGATAATCCCAAAATTAAAATGTAATTTGTTTCTCTGCCTATTAAAAATAAAGTTAAACATTTTTATTTAGATTTTGTAGAATAGTTTATTTTTACTAAATTAATAATTTTATTGTAGAAATCAATATAATTAGGGTTGTCAATAAACTCTCCTTAATGATATCTCAAATATAAAGATGACTTTCCTACATAGATGTTTCCAATTTAAACTACTTTTATAATTTTAGACTATTCTGTATTATGAATCATTGTGAGTATTTATCTTATCTTATTTTAATTTAATAAATGTATGGCTTTACTACTTTAATTATTAATACAATAAATATTTAGGTAAATTTTTATAAAATTAATAAAATTTTCAAACATTAATTAATTAATATAATATGATATTTTCTAATAAATCAAGTTCTTTTTATATGCTGAACGTATTTAAATACTAAAATATTTATAATTTATTTAATTTTTTTTATTAATTTTATTTTCATAAAAAGATTGAATTATTAAATAAATTAATTTTTTGCAAAAATTTAGAAATTTCACAATTTATTCTATTATCATTTGAATATTCATAAAATAATAATACATGAATTTATTATATAATAAACAAATGAAAAGATACACCCATAAATATTTCAAATTTACTTCAATTTTTTATGATTTTTAAATAAATTGATTTTATCTTCAAAAAATCTAACAAAATATTTGAATAAATTTCATATTTTAATTTAAATTAGCTAAAAGGATTTATTTTAAAAATTTAATTTCTTTATTTACTATTAACAATTGCACACATTTTTTTTTTTTGGAATTAATTAGATATTTATTCAGGAATTTGATAGTTGAAATATCTAAAAAGGTTTTAGTTAGAATCTATTAAAACCTTGTAGAACTAATAATTTAACTTTAAAAATATTATTTACTCAATTATTTAGATTAAAAATATAATAGTTTTTAGATTTTTGTTGCTTTTAAATATAGATGAATAGTATACCTAACTTAACCACATTTAATACATTTTATCTTAAGAAAATATTTAGCTTTTAGACATTTTCAAGCAATATTTTGAGCCTAAGTAATTATAAAATCAAACAACTCGTTTACATGATAACCAGTTTTAGCTGAAATTTCAAAGAAGACCATTCCCAAGGATTAAGCAAGCTGTTAAGCCTCTTGATAAGAAACCTACCTATGTTCTTCCTGCAAATCACATTTATTTCCAATTAAAGATAAAACTACATATTTATTATTGCTGCTATTCTTAAAATCTAAGTACCAATTATATGCTTTTTAAAAACTTTATCTATTAGTAACATCATAACAAATTATTATAAATGAAGAAGTCCTATAAAAAAATTATTTTATGTAGTACATTCTTTCATTTGAATCAAATTCACATATGTATAAATTAATTTCATCTTTTCCACTAATAAAAAAACTTAAAAATGTTTGATTTAAAGAATAATGTTACGCTTTTCAAAA